GGATTTACAACAGACACTGCAGTAATGTACAGTGTCAGAATGTGAACTAAATATAAAAAGTATGTTTTTATCATACAGAATGAGAATTTACACAACTTAATTTTCAGATGTATACATTATTATTCATCTCAACTCTATTTACTGTGTAGCAAAAATGTTCATTAATTTATTTTAAACCTCTCCTCAAGCACTTTTCTTATTGTCTCCTGTAATTAATATAATTTTTAATATAATTAATATAATTAATTAATATAATTTTTAATGTAATTAATTAATATAATTTTTTATATCTTTACACTGAAACTCCACCTGGCTCTCTTATGTCTTCCCTGACCTGCTCCTCTCATAGTTTATTTAAAAATTAAAAACAGTTAATACATATTTCAATAAACTAAATGAAGACCTCACCAGAGCTTCTTCACCTTTCTTCAACATCATTCTAGCACTGTGCTGTTCTCCTAAATATATAATATAATATAATATAATATAATATAATAATACATGTTAAGTGAACGAGTATGATCAGGTGTTGCTCACTTTAAATAATAAAAAGGCTAATTTCGCTGCTGTTTCAGTCTCATTCTGATTAAATAAATCATTGTAACTAGACTAGCTAACTGTTAAACAAAGTTAGCAGTAAAATTTTGGACATGTGACTATCCCAGAATTAAAACGGCTTAACCAAAAAGATTTAGTTCTATATATGAAAGTAAACTGACAACAAGACGTTATAACCGAGCGATATTCATGGCAACATTCCTGACAGACAGTTTACCTCCTTCAAACGGAGTTTCTGACTCCGTCTGCTGCTGCCTTTACGCTGAGCCGTTCAGAGGGGGGAGGGGCAGGAAGCGCTCCGCTGAATGCGCTGTTGTGCGCCTTCAAAATAAAAGCACGCGAGTGGAAGATTTTAAAATTCTTCGCAACTGCGGTGAAATTATTGGGGGGGACGAATGTGACTCTCTCCAATATTGGGGGGGACATGTCCCCCCCGTCCCCCCCGCTTCCTACGCCTATGTTTGCACAAAATCATTTCCTGTGGAGACAGGAAGTGTCTCAGACTCAGATGTCCAACATCTCCGTCTGTCCTCTGCAGCTTCAGCTACTGAAATGAATGAACTCTTTAAAACACAGACATGTAGATGTTTGGTCTCCTGGTCTAGAGGAACCAGAACCAAGCAGCTCCAGTTCTGCTGTGTGGGACGTCATGGTGAAACATGAGGTCCAGTTTCTATAAAATTATATTTTGGGTTCAAATTAGACCCCAGGGTCCAGCTCTGCCCTGCAGCCTGTAGCTGGTCCATCCCAGGGTCAAAGGTTTCTGTCCAGAAGTCGACCGATCTGAGTCTGTCTGATGACGTCATTTTAAAATATTAAATGGTTTGTTTTGGTCAGTAACTTTTAACAGTTTAACCTGAGTAGAGAAGCTCTGCTTTGAGTAGCTTCTGGTTAGCATTAGCTCCTAAACGAGATAAGTTAGCATTAGCTCGTCAATGTGATAATTTAGCATTAGCTCCTAAATGAGATAAGTTAGCATTAGCTTGTCAATGTGATAATTTAGCATTAGCTCGTCAATGTGATAAGTTAGCATTAGCTCATCAACGTGATGATGTCATCAGAGGAAGTTCAGGAAACGGGTTTGGGGCGTTTTCCACTGTTGTAGTCTAGACCACCAAACTCGATACCAAGACCAAGACCAGCTTTATCTGAACGATAAAATGTGAAATATGATCAAAATTGATTCTCAAATTGATCTGATTCCCATAAAACACCTAGAAATTAAATATTAGAGCTGAAATAAAGTTAACCAATATTAAAAGCAGAACAAACTGCCTGAGTACCGTCTCCATCTCTACAATCTGTGGAGGTCTCGTGCCATCCCTAGAAACATAGCGCCCTGGGCGTTTGCCCTTACTGTTTATGTCAGAAACCATCTGGGCCAGCAGAGAACCATGGGCCCTCCAGCGGGTCCCGGGTCTCCCTCAGGCTCCTCCCAGTGGGCCGGACGCCTCGGATCGGAGCTGAACAGGCTGAGGACAGAAACGTCTGAGGCTGTTACCCCGATATCACCACGATACACGAGACAGTAAATATTGGCCGATATCCTCCATAGAAAACATTGTTTTATACATATTTATCTGAACCGTCTCAGAATATTCTGTACTATATTACGGCTGATCTAAATCCTTCATCTTCCAGATAACTAGAAATATTTATCTGGAATATCCTGCATAGATACCAGCTGCAGCAGTTGAAGCAGCAGCAGAAACACCAGCAGCAGCAGGTCGTTTCCTCCTTAAACACGTCTGAGCTTGATGAACGTTTCCCGTCTGCTGCTGAGCCTCCACTCATCTGCACAGAGGAAGTTTGTTCCTCCTGATAATGCAGAGCAACAACCGCAGCAACATGGAGGAGCTCAGCAGGAGACGGGAGCCTTATCTCCCTTCCTGCTGCAGCAGCAGCTGCCCGTCAAACCGCCTCTCAGAAACCAGACGGCTGGAGCTTCTCCTCCTGCGGCTCCTTCGCTTCTCCTCAGAGCCACTGAGCCTCAGTCAGCATGCAGCTCTTCCTCCTCCTCCTCTTCCTCCTGCTGCATGGAGCCATGGCCGCCTCGGTGCCTGGCTGCCTCAGCGACAGGGACAAGGACCACCGGCCGAGGGAGAACTGCAGCGGCGCCGGGTTCAGCCACGTACCAGCAGGACTGGACCAGCAGACGCAGGTACCCCGACTCGGTTCTGTCTCAGAACATCTGGACATGCTAGCATCTCCAGACAAACATCTGGATGTAACACTTTTCTTTGTGTAGTTTCCATCTGGAGAAGTTGGAAACCTGACCTTGAACTTTGTCATTTCTTCTCCAGGTCTTGTTGTTTCCATCCAACCTGTTCTCCAGCCTGTCCTGGACCTCCTTCCAGGTGTTTCCAGACCTGTATGAGCTGGACCTCACAGCCAATCAGGTCTGTGCTGCTGGTCAATGTAGTTAAGATGTGTGTGTGTGGCCCTCCAGGTGAATGTGGCTTATTAAGGCTGGTGTGTGTGTGTGTGTGTGTGTGTG